CAGTGCAGACGAAACGAACAGGCCTATTGTCTGGCATAGAGATAGTAACTATAGTTGCAGCACGGACATAAACCGCCTGAAAGTGGATGTAGCACGGACTTCCACCACATGCAGATTTTACCACCAAGACCTAAAAGTGGATGTAACATCGCAATTCTCCTCGCAAAATGGATGCAGATGGCGCCCATTTCCAGTGCGAAAAATCAGTGTCGCCAAAAACGCCGTGTTGGCCGCTCTCAGCTTCCTCTTTGCTAGAACTAAAGTTCTCTTCCTCTCAACAAGCCTCAGGTGTGTGCTTGTCTCTTTTGAATTTTCGAAAGTGTCGGCGATGGAAACGTATATTTAGCAGTCTGTTCCTTTTCGTTGCACTCCCTGTGCAACGAAACCTACCTACCTTGCATTTCCATCCTTCTTCTTTTCTTCCATTGTATACTCGTGAACTAAAAGGTATGTGCATCGATTTTTTGTTGACTTCGGAACGCGCTCCAACTTGAGGAGAAAGACAACCACTGCTTCATACGTCAGCGCTGTCACTTATTACGAGAGTAGAAGGGTGGCATATACGAGTGTCAAATAAGTAGTGATTGTGGCGTAGACACAAATGTCTTGGAGACTTTTAGTTATAATTGAAGAAATGAAGAAAACAAATAATGATTGTGAAGAAAAGTGGCAAAAGGCTTCATAAAATTTGTAAAATAGCGTATTAAAGGAGAGTATTAATTGTCTAATAATATTTTAAGCGAAAAATATTTTTAAATTTGAGTGTAAGTTAAAAAAGTTATAAACCATAATTTCTTTAATGTTAATAAATTTGTCATCGAAGTTGAATGAATATATATATAATGCTATTATTTCCATAGGTGAGGAATTATATTATTGTGTCCAGTAGAAGTAAGCAGCAGACCAAGTTGAGTGATATGAGTATCTTGTTAAGAAAATATCACTCGACTTGGTCTGCTGCTTATTTTTTATGAGCGCAATAACATAATTTTCCACCTATATAAATGATAGCATTACGTACATATTCATTTAATGTCGATGGTAAATTTATAGCTATAAAATTATCAACATCAAAGAAATTATGGTTTATAACTTTTTTAACTTACACTCAAATTTAAAAATATTTTTCGCTTAAAATATTATTAGACAATTAATACTCTCCTTTAATACGCTATTTTACAAATTTTATGAAGCCTTTTGCCACTTTTCTTCACAATCATTATTTGTTTTCTTCATTTCTTCAATTATAACTAAAAGTCTCCAAGACATTTGTGTCTACGCCACAATCACTACTTATTTGACACTCGTATATGCCACCCTTCTACTCTCGTAATAAGTGACAGCGCTGACGTATGAAGCAGTGGTTGTCTTTCTCCTCAAGTTGGAGCGCGTTCCGAAGTCAACAAAAAATCGGTGCACATACCTTTTAGTTCACGAGTGTACCTCAACTGTTTTCTTTTTGAGTTCTGGAAGTGTTTAAGCCATAGACATAGGAATATAGAGACAGAGCATAAGTCCGTAAGATAGGCGAGGAGAGTTGTGTTGAAATGCGGGGGGTGACTGTGCCTAAGTTTCATTGGCTACAAGTGCGCATATTCAGAGCGTGTGATGCAACGACTTGGCTGTCACTGGCAAATAGTAAATGTAACAAAATGATAACAACTATTTGCACTGACAGTATTTTGCAGAGGTTATGCATGTGTCTTTTTTTCATAATTTCACTCACACACAACTTCATACACATCTATGTATGTATCAAATACTTACAGACGGCACAACCACCAATTGGATTTAGGCACAGTTTACCTCGTCGCACCGTCCCGCAATGGTTATCACCCCGTAACTCTATGCTCTGTCTCTATATTCCTATGTCTATGTTTTCTTCGCACATCCATTTTCCTGAACCCGGTTTTCTGAACACACCCATTGCGTGCATTCAGTACCGCATTGATAACTGAGCTCTTGAATCTCATTGGCGTAAGCCACAAAATCTGAAAGAATATGTCAATCAAATACAAAAGCTAACTGAGTAGTTGAAGTACTAACAGTTGGAATGTAGCCATAGGATTCATATAATGATATTTATAAAGTATATATATATATATATTTTTATTTCTTAAGAAAAAGTATATTCTGTTCATAGATATATTAAATACAATAGATAAATTGTTTTAAGCTAGCGGCACACAGTGCTTGTTTTCGTACTGGATTGCTTGTTGGATGAAAATACTGATTGGTATATTTCCGAAAATGGATGGAAGGATGAATGGTATTGTACGCGATCCGTTCCGACGCTTCATACATCTTTATTTATTTCTGATACATTTCTCACAGCCTCACTGCAAAATCTGGCTCTGTAGGTTTCTCGAGGATAGTTCAAAAAAGATGCTATAACAATTTGACGGTGAAACATATCGTCAACGAGGTGAAATTTTGCATCTCCTACAATGATTTTTCGACTGATTCGCTCCAACGCCTGATACGACGGGCGCTTTATTTATATATTATAAATTTTTGACGACCGGATTGCAAAATCCGGCTTTGTACCGATCTCGAGAATAGTACAAAGAAGATGCTGCAACAATTTGGTAATAATACGTATCGTCAAAGAGACGAAATATTACATCTCGTAAAATGATATTTCGAGTGACTCGCAGTAGCGCTTGGTACAGCGGACACTTTATTAATGTATGATAAATTTTTGACGGCCGGATTGCAAGATCTGACTTTGTAAGGTTCTCAGGGATAGTTCAAGGAAGATACCATAATAATTTGGCGGTTATATGTATTGTCAACGAGGCAATATATTAGTTCTTGTAAAATTGTATTCTGCCTGATTTGCTGCGATATTTGGTACAGCTGACGCTTTATTTATGTATAATAAATTGTTGACGGCCTGTTTGTAAAATCTAACTCTGTAGAAATCTCGGGAATAATTGTAGGAAGATGCTATAACAAGTTCATGATCATATATTATGTCAACAAGGCAAAATATTGCTTCTTGTAAAATGATATTCCACCTGACTCGCTGCAACTCCTGGCACGGCTGATGCTTTATTTATATATTATAAATTTTGGACGGCCGGATTGCAAAATCTGGCTGTGTAAGGTCCTCAGGGATAGTTCAAGGAAGATGCTGTAACAGTTTAGCAATTATACGTATCGTCAACGAGATGAAATTTTGCATCTCGTAAAATAATTTTTGGAGTGATTCGCGATGCTTGGTACGGCGGACGCTTCATTTATTTTTTGTTTTTCAATTTTTTGGGACGGCCGGATTGCAAAATCTGGCTTTGTGGGGATCTCGGGAATAATATAAGGAACATACTATAATAATTTGGCGGTGATATATAACGTCAGCTAGACAAAATACGTCAATTTGTAAAATGGTATTGCACGTAAGTCGCTGCGACGCTTGGCTCATTCATTCAAAAGCTTGGAAAGCATTTTCTCGTCGTGTATCGGCCGGCCCGAGTGAGTAAGACAAGGACAGCGCGATCGATTGTTCGTCTTTGTCAAACTGACTGACCCAACCTTCCTGCTCTTGCGCTCGCGCGCACGGTGTTGGTTCGCAATCTCGCCGCACGAGGCCTCCAAAGTCAACGCTGGATTTGTCTCTGGCTCCTGTAGACCCTTAATGTGAATAAAAGAAACGGATTAAGAAGGCTTGTTCCGAAAGTGGTTTTGGAAACCATTGGAAACTATAGTTTTAGTTATAAGGTTGGTAGGCCTTAACCTTAAACTAATTTAGATACGTTCCGTAATTGATCAGCTTATTAATTAATTATCAAGATTAATTATCAAGATAATACGTGGTAATTATTCGGAATAAGGCCTTTTTCGAGTTTTGATATTTTTTTGTAATTTTCTTGGTGATAATCTTTTTTATGACTCTATAATAAAGTGGTAATTAATCGAAGAACCTGAAAAATATGTCATCTGCATACTCTTTTAAATATTTCTTTCCAATGTCGTTTCCCAGATAAGATTAAAAATATAATGGTCCTTGAGAGGGCTGATTTTATGTTTGTTTATGCTTGAAAACAAAACTGCAAACAGAACAAGGCTACTGAAAAAAATCAGCAAGAGTCCTATACAGGGTAGAATACATAGGGTGTTCCATAAAAAATATATATACCAAAATATACTATAAATATACCAAAAACGTCACGTTTTATGAAAAGAAAAATATTTCGAATAAAAATTGTTTGGCTTTGAAGGGAACAAAAAGCGATCAAATCAGTTTGATTTTGTATGATAATTCCGAGGTCGCGCGAAGGTCATTTAAAATTTTTATATATAAAACCTTATTTTTTATTGTTGACGTCGAAACCTTTTCAAAACACTGTAGATGAGTTGAACTTTTTTTAGAATTTTCCGAGTTATGAGGTATTAAAATTTGGAAACCGCTGCCATTAGCGTTACTCGAGGTACACTATAGGGAGGTTGTATGGTCGGATTTTGTAAATCATATCCTGAAGATCCCGAAGAGGACTGATGTAATGCAAATATACATATGTTCTAATTAAATAAGTTAGGTTGAGTTAAATTAAGTTAAAAAAATACGTAGATGACATATTTTTTAGGCTCTCCCGATTGATCATCACTGTCAGAGTCACAACAAAGTCACACAGAAAGTATCAAAATTGGAGAAAAGGCCATATTCCAAAAAATGACCTAATAAGTAATAAAAGATCTATCTATTTTTCTATCTGATATTGCAAAATTAATAGCTGAAACCAAGCTTGTAAGCAGAAGTACATAGCTGTGACATCCCAGTGTGATCAGCCGTTCAGTTGCGGAATACATCTAATTAATTTAAGTCCTTTTCACCGACTTTGCAACTAATATCAGAGTTTCCGAGGCCGATTTCGCCGATTTAGAAATCGTCGGTTGTCGCTCGCGGTGTTAATTCCGCGCAGGTTGGCAGCGAATAATTCCCGCGTGATTCCGCGAGCGGCGGCGAGATGTCGCGGCTCAACCGCGCCGCCGCGTTTGGATACGTCGCTACGAGATATATGTGTGCTCGCACACACATATATATAACGGTCGATACTAAAAGGGAAGCCGCAGAAGCGTCGACCGGCTTAGTCCTCGCGCCCTTCTCGTTGTCGTCGTATCCGCAGCGTTCAGCACGCCGTAGTCTCCCACGAAGGAAGCTAATCGAGGTAACGCACACTGCGCTCTCTTTCGTTCTTCTCGCGGATCGCCGGCGGATCATTTTGTTTTCTTCAACGGTCCGTCAGCCGTCGCGGAGGAGACACGCGCGAACAAAAGACGCGCCGAAATGGTCGCTCGAGCCGCGCTTTCCTCCGTCAACGCTCGAAATCCGTCGAACGGTCGTCCCGTCGACGCCCTCGCGGCGACGTCGAGCGGACGTCGCGCAAGCATCGTTCTCGATTGCCAGCCGGCCTCCTGGGTCTCGTTCCTCGAGTACGACGTGTCGACGGCCGACCGAACGAGAGATCTCTAGGACGCCCTTGCCGGCGTCGCGGCGAGCCGACCTTGAAGCCACACCGGCATGGCTGCGACGCACCTTCCTCGCGTCAGGCCAATTGCGGCTGAGTAATCGCCGAGTGCGGTTTTCGCGGAAGCAATAACGGGAAAGAACCACGCCAGGCCGCCGAATCTCCTGCCGAATGACGTTGGCTCGCCTCCAAGGCGATTCGGCGACTCGGGCCGAAATTTCTCCTCGCTTGGGTTTGGGCGATCTGGCCGGTAGAATCGCGACGGTGAGAGATGTTGATCTCTCTGGCGGAACCTGACACGTGTATTTTGCAGAAACACGTGTATTTCGATTTACACACCGCGACGTGTGTGTGTGTGTGTGTGTCCCGCTCGTTCTGCGCGCGACGTCAAACCCGCCGGCGGATTATCTTGATCACTGATTTCGCCCAACCGCGGAAGTCCTTCCGCTCGCACGAGTGCCATCGAGATAAGTATATCGCGATATTGATCCGGAATATCCGTATCACGCATTTTCGAGAGGCGGCGGACGTTTCCGCGATCGACGCGTCCCTCGACCGTTGCGCGAATCAGCGCAATTTCGCGTCAGAGTGCTTTTCGGTATTCAGCACCACTGATGCGTTTGCGCTCGTTAACCACGTCAAGTATGCATATACGCGCGCGGCAATCGTCGCGCAAATTATCAAACAGTTACAAAGCAATAACGCACTAATTAGGCCCGTCCGTTATCGTCCGCGCGTCACGTTATTTGCGAGAATGAATGTCGGCATGTTTGTAAATATTTATAAACTCAAGTAGTATTGTACTCTGAATGGCGAGTCGATGAAGGAAACGTCAACAATTAGCGATAGAAATGCTCGAACGTATTCTTGCGGGAGACACAGTGAATATCTGCTTAGCCGGTAGCAGCCAAGTGCTCTTAACGAGCGGCTAATGATTAGTCGAATTAGCGTATATTTTTAGATCCAACTGTACTTTTGAATTACGGTTACTTGCCGTTCGACAGTTTGCTCCGCTAAATGTAGCGGAACGTTTCTTCCGGCATTTCGCGGCGAACTTGGCGGTGTGTTTGAGGAAACAACGGGCTGTGTGTGAATTCCCGATGTTATCCAGCTCTCGACATTGCGTAACGAAATTCCAGAATACGTCACGCGGTCATATTTTTCAGCCCAAGTACGAGGTAAGATATGCCACACGACCATGTCTGGTCGTTCCTATTTTTTTCAATTTTCCCAGCAATAAAAGAACGGCGGTCGGCAAGATAAGTGTTCTTTTTTCCACATAGGCAAACGGCGCGTGCGTCGCGGTTAATAATGTTGGAGCGGAAATTGCTCGTAACAAAGGAAGGCTTCTTCGCAAGGCCGCCTGCAAGCGCGCGAGACCTTTTTCATGCCGCCGCTTCATGCGAGACTCCGCGAGGCGAGCGGAGTTTTCCCTCGTCCCGGGGCTCCTTTGTGCTCTTCCTTTCCCGGGTTCTTTCACCCCACGAAACCTCGGCTCATACCTGACGAACAGCTCCGGCCGTTATGTAATCGACGGACCCCATCTGGCACGCCGGCCCGATCGATCGCTTTATCTCTCAATTCGGTCGATTCTGCTGACGGACACTTTCGAACTCGATTTTCCTGGCGTGTGTGCGTTCCTTGCGCAATCTCGAGACTCGCCTATCCCTGATATTAATTGCTTTCGAGAGAGAGAGAGAGAGAGAGAAAGAGAGAGAGAGCTTTGCGAGAATTTCAATGAGAACGTCCAAAAAAAAGTAATTTCAGCACAAGCGGAATCATCTAAATTTTCGAAGACTTTATTCTTATATATGACCTCAAGAAGATTCCTCTAAGAAGAAAATATTATAAACGCATTATTTTTAAAGTTAGAGCGATTATATGTTATATGTATAATGCAAATTTTATTGATTTATATAATTGATAATATAAATTTCCTTCAGAACATGACTGAACAAACAAAGTCAACATTCAAATCAACATATTCCTCTTCACATGAGACGAAAATTAATTGATATAAGAGGAAATCTTCTTGGAACAAGAGGAAAATAGTTGGAATAATATCTAATAAATTTCCGATGAATGAATTCACTTTAATCGCTTTATCGAAGGAGGAATCCTTTTTCTGTAAAAGGCTTCGCTTAGTAAATGAGACTATGGGAAAAATCGCTTTACAAATAAAATACTTTTTTTTTGTTTTTTGGGGTAAATTAATGATTTTTCTGCATTTTATATGGGGGCGATAAATTTAGTCTTAAGACGTAATGATAATCGCGATAATATTATCGCCATTTAATTACTCATCTTAATTTATTATTATACCGATTATAATGATTATTGTTATGATTAACGGTATACAGTTGTTTATTGTTTACTCTCTTGTGAATGTTTGATCTTTCTACATCGTCATTCACTATTAATTATTCATCAACTCCTGTCGTCGGCTGACGTCATCGGTCGCAGATAATACAAATTTGGTGTATTCAATGTGCGACAAATCGATACCGCCGGCATATTGACGTGGCTTGTCGCTAAACAAATATTTAGTTATCGGCGCTTCTCTATGGCTTATCGAAAGCGAACTTCTCGTGTCGAGTGCCGGTCGTAAGTTTAGTCGACGATATCGTTTGCTCGATACAAATACCTCTTTCGTTCGCACGCTTCCGCTGTGTGTCAGATAAACGTACCGAATTATTATTTTGTTTACTTCTAATTTGTATATGTGTCTAATTTGTATTTACATATTCTCGCAAATTTACATAATTTTTTTTAATAAGTTTCATAGTCTTACTCAACGCCACTTTACTTTTTCAAAAGTAAACTCTCAAAAATTTGTCCTTGCTCAAAGTGGTGATTCGTGGTACGTTTACCTCAATTAATCTCCGTGAAAATAAAAGAAAGCGCTGCTGAATGTTTCGATCGAGACGCGCCGATCGCGCGTCTTGAGATCTTCTCTTCGGGAATATTTCCGAGTATCAGGCGAATCCATCCTCGCATGCGAGTCGCCGCGTCTCATCGACGTGTTTACTCAAGCTCGCCACGTAGAGGATCAAACAGCATGTGAGCGAGACGTTCTTGACATTTGGGCGTTGTGTTATTATTATTATGAAAGCCCGTAATGATGTTTGAGCTCGCTTGAACGCGTATGTACACATGTTTATCGCGAAATCAACGCACCTCGCTGCTCTCGGCGACTTGCTCTCTCGTTTATCCACGTCGGAGACTTTCGATAATTACCGCCCGATTGTCTCGCGCGGCGTTTGTTCGATCGCGGATACACAGGGTGTCCCACTTTCAATGAGCCAGGCAAAAAATCTCGAAAAATATAGAAGATACTAAGAAACGTTTCAGACAAAGTTGTACGGTTTTAAGGGGGACGTAAAACAACAATATCACTTTGTTTACAGATGGCGCCACCTTCGAGGTATTCACTGATCTTTACTTTTCTTAAGTGGAAACCCCGATTTTTCATTATTTATCGACTATTTGTCGACAGAAAAAAAAAATAGTACTAGACTCTATTTGGTCTCAAGAATATATTGTTACAATAGTACCCTAACCTTTGTTAACTTATCGACCTTTGGAAATTTCAAAATCATCAAATTAACAAAACCCAGGGCGCTATTGTGACAATACATTCTTGAAACCAAATAGAGCAAAAAAGTAGTACTTTTTCTTCCGACAAATAGCGAGATATCGTAAGTTAAAGTTAAACGTTGTAAAAGTTCTCAAGTTTTCCTTAAATATCTCAAAAAATATCAGGCAAGAAAACGAAAGTGGCGCCATCTGTTAATAAAATGATATAGTTGTTTAATGTCCCCTTTGAAAACATACAACTATTGTGTGAAATGTTTCTTAGTATCTTTCGAAATTCTTGCCTGACTCATTTAAAACGGGACACCCTGTATTTTCGACGGTGCATGTTGAAGCTGCCGGACGACAACGTTTTGCAACGTTTTCAGATATTTGCCTGGATTTTTGTCTCACTTTTGCAGAATCTTTCCGATAAGTTTCGCGACAAGACGAATCTTCTAGCGATAATATGTTAATATGAAGTATGTTGGAACTGTTGAACATGCGGCGATGTTATTTGCGCCATTTACAGATTTAAGTAGCCTCTTTTCTCAGCGCTGCAGAAATTTTCCTAGTAAAGTTTGCGATAAGATAAATTTTGCGATGACGGACGAGCTGCGGGCTATATTCTATGCAACACCGGTAAAATCTCACCTAATCCTGATTGCAGCAATCCAGCAACAATCATGCCGGTGCCGCAACTCCAGAGACCAGCGCCCGCTTTCAGCGGCACTGCCGTCATAAACGGACAGTTTAAGGACATCAATCTGTCCGACTACAAGGGCAAATACGTCGTGCTGTTCTTCTACCCGCTGGACTTGTAAGCACGTTTACCGTACCTTCTCCAACTATCGAGATGACGAAATGGTTCCATAATTCCCGAGCTCTTCGCGAGAAACTCCTTTGTAGCCACGTATGCGTTGCGTGCTCTGTTTGCACCGAGTATAATTATCTCTCGTACACGTGAAACTGTAACAAGTGTTTCCTGAATTCTAAAAGACTCGCGTTCATGACTCGCATTTACAACATTCGCGCGCAACAGTTTAATAACGCCTCTCGGCGGCGGTCCCGAATTAACGCGCGCGATTTGAAGATCGGACGACTATCGCTCTGTGAAAAATAACTCCGGCGGGGACATGCAGAAAAATTATATTGAATATTGAAATGCGACTTTAAGAAATTATGTCGCGATGGTCGACGGAAATTCTACAGCTCTTTAAAAAGCGGCTGCCAGACTTAACACACACACACACACACATAGAAAAATTATTCGAGATATTAAAATATGACTTAAAAAAAATTATATCGTGATTGAAAGAAATCCTACCGTCCTTCGACGAGTAGCTCCGGCTAGATTTAACATAAAGAAATTGTATTAAATATTGAAGTACGATAAAAAAATCACATCGCGATTGTTGAAAGAAATTCTATCGTTCTTTGGAAAATAGCCGACTCAACATGCGCATACGTGGAGAAAAATCATACTGAGTACTAAGATGCAATTATATAAAATACAAATATTATTTGCAATAATAGATGTAATTAATACATAACATTATTTCATCACAGTACCTTCGTGTGCCCGACGGAGATCGTCGCTTTCTCCGACCGCGCGCAGGAATTCAACGACATCGGCTGCCAGGTGATCGCCGCATCCACCGATTCTCACTACTCCCACCTGGCGTGGGTCAACACGCCCCGCAAACAGGGCGGTCTCGGTGAGATGAATATTCCTCTGTTGGCCGACAAGAGCTTCAAGATCTCCCGCGACTACGGCGTGCTCGACGAGGAATCGGGAGTTCCCTTCCGCGGGCTGTTCATCATCGACGACAAGCAGAACCTGCGTCAAGTCACCATCAACGACTTACCTGTGGGAAGGTAAGGATCTCGCTCCCTCATCAGCAAGCAGTGATCAGCCAGATCAGCCATCAGTTATCAGTGGATTCGCGCAAGTCGATTTGCACGTTTTGCTCGTTTTTGGCGGCACGAAAACCGTCGCAGGAAGTCATCCGGTACAAACAAACCGAGTCTTGCGTTTTTTATTTAAATCACCAAGTACAGGTCAATGTGGGCCTTGACCTGTGATAACACTGAACGCAACCTTTGTGTTTACTAACAATGATATTAGTGTCACATGCTCGAGATATATTAGACAACTAGCAAAAAACGTTCTTCTTCCGGATTCTTCAGCACTCTCATATCGCGTGTATTGTTTCCAGATCCGTGGACGAAACCTTGCGTCTAGTCCAAGCATTTCAATATACGGACAAGCACGGCGAGGTGTGCCCGGCCGGCTGGAAACCCGGCAAGAAGACCATGAAGCCGGACGTGGTCGGCTCGAAGGAGTACTTCAAGGATACATAGACAATAAGATTTGGTACAATAATGATGTTTCTTTGTACGTCCTATTGGATATATTCGCGTTGTGTGTTTGTATCTTTGCGCGCCGCGTAAACCTCCTATTCAACACAATTACATTTACTTGCGTGTCTATTTAGTATAACTAAGTACACATATCGCGCTAAAACAGTATGACACCTAAAATATTTGCTCTTAGTTGTCTTTAGTAATAAACAGGTTTATTTTGTACTTGTGTTGCCGCCAATTTCTCCCGACATTCCACCTGATGTACTAGTCGCTAATTACTCCGTATATCAAACGATCGCTGCAGTGGAAGCCAATGTTTGTCACAACTGCAGTGAAGTTCGTCAGAAGTGTCACATCAAGCTCCACTTTATCGTGTTTTCGTAATGGCTATTATTATCTCTCATAATTGTTAGAATTGGTGATAATTCAACGCGAAAACTCTCAAGCGCATGCAACCAAATTTCACGGACAAACTTGGTTCCGCATTTTTCGTTTATGTTTGATTAAATAATTCATTGAAATTTGCCAGCCAGTAACTATAACCGCTTCATCGGTGCGTTTGAAGGCAAAATCATTGCATTATTTTTTTCATGTGGCATGAGTAACGAGTACGAGACCGCAATAACGGAAGCAGGTACGGATCCTGAATAAGCGACGAAATTACTTATACCTTGCGGACGTTTATGGTTGTGATATTTCCAAGGTAATGTTGCGTGTGAGAATGTATCATACACGTGACATTAACGCGATATCGTGATTACGCCATTTCTCGTTTCGAGCCTTGCGGTTTCTGCAAGCGTGCGAAAAAATTCTTATCGATGATCTTTTATCGGTACTAATTGATACATGAAAATATGTACTTTCAAAAATGCAGGATGGGGTATATATCATCACTTTCTCATCGTCCTCGTCGGTTTGCTGTCGCTAGCAGAGGCGAGCACTTCCCTCGTCGTGCCGATCGTGGCGTCGTTCTTGGTGTGCGATTTCAAGCTTAGCAAAGACCAAGCTGTCGTATCTGTCGCCACTTCCAGTTTCGGTATACATCAAAGTGTGGTCTTAATATGCTGAATCGTTGAAACGCGTCAAGCCACTTCGGAATCCGAGAGAAATGATTACATCGCGCGATCGTTGAGCGAAACGCTCGTCGCCCTTCGGAAAGTAGCTCTGACAGACACTCAACGCACGGAGACATGTATTCAATGCTGAAAAATACAATGAGAGAAAAAATAGGATAATATTATATTCAACTAATTGTCATCAATGTGCAAAGAGAAAATAATACCTGGAAAAATATCGCGATAGACGACGTTTCGCCTTCACGCGAGGATTGAGTCTATTTTTTGATGTTGAATGTTTGACTTGATGATGATCTTTGGATACACCGAAAGTTAGTCCACGCGCAAAGTTATATTAATTCGTTCTGTCTCGATTACCGCGTAGGAATGGCGATAGGCGCGTTCCTGTTCGGATCTATATCGGACACCACTGGTCGCAGAGAATCGATCGCGGTTTCCACGGGCATCGTGTTCTGCGCCTCGGCCAGCTTGTCCTTCGCGCAAACTCATTTCCTGGTAAACCTATCGGTATTCGTGCTGGGACTAGGGTGAGATTTCATCTCTTCAAAATACGCGCACGCTTGGAAGCAAGCGGGAACCCCAAGCGACCCGACGAACTTGGCCGCGACAAGTCAGGATGAAACACGCTGTGTTTTGCTAGATATTTTTGCAACGGCTTGTTTCTTTTTTTCTTTCAAAATATATTCGACGTTTACACGGACTCTCATTTATCCGTGCTGAAAGCTGGTTTTTCCACTTGCAATTCGCCCGTGTCGTATGAAAAGACAAAGGCGACACGTCGAAGGACGGACGTATTGCGTTTTGTCGTTACGTGCGCGTTAAAATTGCGCGCTCATCCGACTGGACTGCGGCTTGCAATTGCGTGATTAATAATTACGTCGTTACGTGAGCTTTTGATTGACGTCGGTGTAGAGTGGCCGGTAATAACACCGTTCTCAGAGTCTACCTGATCGAGTGCCTGCCGGTGAGGAAGAGAGGCACTTGCTTAGCAGTGATCGATACATTCTGGGTGACCGGCTATTTAGCGGCGTTAGGTAACGAACGTTCGACCATCAATAATAATGTAATATATTTTGTTGTCGAGCATTTTTTCATTCATGAAACAGCTCGACCGAAGCGATAAATTTTATTTAAATTTTTGTTTCAATTTATCTCATCTTAATCCTCGGCCAATGCAGATAAATAATTCTGAGGACAGTCTTGTTTATACGATTCAATATTCCAATTTAATCAATATTTAACTTAATATATCTCCTTATATAGCTTTTTTTTATAAATTTCTTCTCCGCGGATCTGTGAAATTTCCACGGATCGTTTGACACAGAAATCTTCTTATAATCAATTAATAATATAATTAACAATCGATCGTATTACAAAAAAAAATATATATATATATTTAAAAACATATTCAGCAGCTCGAAATTTGCACTTTTGATGATTGCAAGATATACTAAATTGATGCGGAAAAAGGTTTGCTGTGTTCGTCAAAGAAAACAAAATTATTCAAATTTCCGAAGGATTAAGGACTTTTATGAACAACATGAACAACGTTGTTTCGATATTCGTTGACAGACGCAGACATCTAACGAGAAAAGTTAATGGAAAAATGACGTCTTTTGCACCAATCTAATAATAATCACGGAATATTTTTTTTTGTTTTTCTTTTCATGAGACTTCGGCAAATATAATTTTTGGCGGAGGACGATGCCGGCCGCTCCGAAAGGAGCGACCTGACATTTTGCAAGGAGATTCACACTCGTCCGGTATGATTCGGAAAGGTGTCTCCTGGGCCTTGATGCCCTCCGCGATCCTCATGTTGGGCAAGCAGTTCCGGCCGAGTTCCTGGCGGGTTCTCGTTATTCTCAGCGGCACGCCGAGCCTGATGATCGCCTGCGCCTCAGGTCTCCTACCTCCGAGTCCTCGACACTCGCTGTACCGTCGGAGGCCGAGGAGAGCGCTCGCGGTGCTGCGACAGATGTACGCCATCAATAATACGAAACACACCGATACCTACCCGGTACGGCGACCCGTTCCTCACTTCGTTGAAGAACTTGTTACTTCCTGTTACTTCCTCGTCCATTCGATCTTCATCTGCTGCTCGTGGACGAGGACGAGGAAACTAATCGCCGATTAGACTGGCGCGGCTCGTCCGGCGAGGAGAAATTTTTAATTAGATGGAGGACGAGTGTGTGTATGTTGACCCCTTGACTGGCGGAAACGCAATAATGCGTTTCGGTTATTTCTGAAATATTTCTACAATTTTAATTGGAAGTTTTCCGGGTCCACCGGTTCCTTTACAAATTGCAAAGAAAAATATCGTGCGCTTTCACTGCTTCACTTTTCTCACGACAAACATCCAGTTTCGTTTCGCTGAAATAAAATTATGATTTTAGTCATCGTATTAACTTTACCATCTGAAAAAAATTTTCCAATTTCTCAAATTTCCCATAATTTTTCAAATTTTCCGTATTCGTAAAAAGTTTCAATTTTCCAAATTTTCCGTGTTCGTGAACGGTGACCTCAAAACAGCCGCAGACACTAAATTTGAACGACTCAACAAACCGCTCAACTTTTGGACATCCATCTCTTTTGCACTTTTGCAAAATTCCGCTTGCCAATCAAGGGATTAATTCTACTTATTTTTGTTACGTTACTTATCCCCTCGCGGGTCGGAATGTTGCTTTTGGAAAATAACTCCTCGCCGTCGTTGTTGACACAAGTGCAAAGTAACGATAATCTGTTCTATCTCCGTTAACAACGAAAGAAAAACAATTCCGCTATCGCTGGGAAAGAAAGTAACGTAAAGCTCGCGCGAGCAACTTGCGTCACTTGCCGAGCCCGTTTTCCGGTATAATCGTTCTCGATGATTTAGCACAGGAATTTAGAAGATTGCGTACGTCCGGACGAGGAAACCAACGAGAACAGACTTCAAGAGTACTTCACGAAAACTTGGGAGCGAGTCGGTCGAGTGCACAGGCCTCCGTACAAGCGAACGACGCTGTGCGGAGTCTTGGCGTGTCTTCTGCGCTTTCCCGGGTAATAAAAGAAAAACAATGTCCTTTAAGGTCATTCTACAATACGTGTCGTAAGTTGTAAGCCGTGAGAACTGACCAATTATAGCCGATTATTTTTGTAATAATCGACTGTGATTCGGCAATTCTTACGGCTTACAACTTACGACACGTATTGTAGAATGACCTTTAGAGTTGCGCACGACCTGGCGAAGGAGCAATCACAGAAACGACGTTGAAGGTTCGCTTGGCTCGCCCTGTGGAGCACACACGTCCTTCGGGAACTGGAAGGGGACACCGCCGGCTGGAACGGCACGTGCAACTTGAGCTTCCAGAACGTGGTATTGGGTTTTTTGCGAAATTGCGACCAGGTGAACGAGGATAGTTTCATGCTGCTGTTGCTGGTGTCGCTGGGCTACGTGCTGGGAGAGTCGTTGCTCGTTATCGGAATCGACATCGTCGGCAAAAAACCGTATCTAAGTAAGCAATCGAGTGACTGTAATCAGCCACTGTGATCAGTTCGTAAATGATTAATATTAAAGTATTAAGAAACAATAGCTGTAATTGGAATGTCCTCGACAGAAGTGACGTTAGTACTCCATTTCTTGCAAAACTTTCAAAACTTCCAGAACTAAATCACGCTGCTAATAAAAAAATTTTTCTGTTTTAATAAAATATATCTCTCTCTTTATGTGAGTGATAAAGCCATTATTATTATTAATTTCTTGTTTGGAGTTATTATTACTATTATTTTTGGAGGCATATCGCAGTAGTCGCGCGTCTTTTCGACTGTTTCCAGTATTTTCCGGAGTGGCAGGCTGCGTGGCCTCGCTCGCGCTTATTTTCCGAATGCAGCGCGCAATTCGCGTGGTTCTGTCGTCGATTTTCCTGGCCGCTTACGCGATCGGACACACAACGACCTGCGTTTTACTGCTGGAAAACTATCCCACCGCTTTGAGGTAGGTCGTAAGAAACCGAGTGCGTGTCTGGTTTATTTTATAGGGAAAAAGACAAAACTTCTCCTCACTGATTTCGGCGGCGGATTTGGATATGTCGTAAAGCAGACCAAGTAAAAAGTAGACTAATATATTTTTTATGTATTTATCACTCTTAAAGTTGTGAAATGATTTTTCCAATGTGAGAGGAAAATTCATTCTCAACGAGTATTACCGAAACTATGAGGTGATATGTAAAAAATGGTTTACAGGGAAATATAAAATTTGCAAAAATGATAAGGTAAGCAAATTAAAAAAAAAATTGACATTGCCGGGAAATCTAAATACATAGTTGCAAAGAATATGAAAAAATATAAAAATGTTCAGTATAAATCATTTTCTCCCACACGTTGCACTTGAGACGATATTAGCTGGAAATGAAATTTCCCCCATTCCCGAGTTTCTTCCAACAACGAAAAATCGAGTCGAGCATTTAAAGAAGTGTTTTGCCGCTTCGCGCGAGTCTGGTATCTTTTCTGCTTTGAAACATGTCCAAGAGCCATGGAAATCGATGAAGTTCCGAACCGTTCCGTACAGATTATTTCCTCGGATCGTCTCAGAGACGTTTACAGGAATCGCGGCGCGGACGCGAGATGTGAAATCCGGCGGTTTCTGGTTTCTGTTTCAGAGGCACGATGATGGGCCTGACAAAAATACTTCCCCATTTGGCGGTCTCCGCGACGCTGCTCCTGCCGAGGACGGTCTGCCCGCTGACAACGCTGGTCGTCGCGTCGGTTTCTCTGATGGGTAACGAGAAAGCGATTGTTAACTATTCGATCCGCTCTTACCGAGCACCGAACGTCTCACAGGTGCGGCCCTCGTGATGCTGCCGGTACTCGATCTAACCAGGTTACCGATGAAGGAATGATCCACGCTTCCGGATATATGTTTCCGGTCGCACATACACACACACACACACACACACACGTGTACCCATGACTATCGACTTCACGCGGATGGAAAAGCCATCGTACCTCGCTGAAGTAAAATCTCAATTCGGTGCAACTGAAACACTGACAACTTGTCCAATTATATCTCGCTAATCATGTATTTGCAATTAAAACGATGGCCGATGATGGCCAAAAATGCACAATCAAGATGAATATCGATTTAACGTCAACCGAATTAACACAAATCCAACTAACGATTCAATTTAACTCTTTAACGCCTACTGGTAATTATAGTTATGAGTAATGCATTTAAGAATCCATAACTGAGTAAAGAAAGGAGATATTTTCGTTTTCTTTGCAGCTGCATTGTAAAGGTGAATTCTTCCTCTAAAAAATGGTATATAGATTGTATGTAGATTCGATTTAGTCTGTTTTTAGCTCAGTTTTAATGATAACATGTTTTGTCAAATTCCAAGCAGGCATAGTTAGCATTGTTATTGACATCTAGAAGTGCACTATAAATGAATAGATTGGTATCTGTTATAATTTTATACATTTGGGAGCTTTCTCAGATGCAAAATGTGAAATTAAAAGAATACATAAATTCAAAATGGCGAATCCAATATGGTGGACACGGAAATCAAGAAATCAACTTATTTCGTGAAACCTGATGACCTACAGTTTTTTATGCGGCGAAAAATGAAGGGACGATTGATTATCTAAATGGTGATCTATAAGATATTCTTCTGAAATAGTAAGCTTGACGCTCTGAATGATAAACTTCACTCACAAATATAGTAAAGTTTCAACTCAAAAATGTCAGGCTGATTATCAGAGTTATGTCGCATAGATTATCCTTCATTTTTCTCTGTGTAGGTTGTTCATTTCATACATGCTTTTCGAAACCAAGTCCATATTTATTAAACAAAAAACGAACGATAAAAAAACCAATATAAAATTCCGATATTTCTTTTTTTGGTTATCACTACTTATAGTCTCAGTTCAAAAAGACTCAAATTTTATTCTTAAAACGCTTATAAAAAAGTCAGGCGTTAAAGAGTTAATTCAATCGATCGGTCCGATTATTCTTGTACTTCTCACGGCACTAAAACTACCGAACGCTTGAGAAAGAAAAGATGACCTTTTTACAGACAATCTCTCAAAAATATCACCCAAATTTGCCTCTCATCTTTTTCTTTCAAACGTTTGCAACTTTGCGAACATTTTACGTTCTCAGCGGACACGTCGAAGGGAGAACTGTAAGGGAAGCAGCGAACGAGCCAAAATCTCCGCCAAAATGTTTCCAAAAACCCTCGAGCGCTCCGGTGGGAACTGGTCGCGCCGATCGCCGGCAATATTGCCCAGCGCTGGGCAATATTGCATCCGATCGATCGGCGGCCCCTGAAGAAATCTCTCCGCCGCCTCGATCCTGTGGCGTCGATGTCTCGCGCGGCGTATCGCCCCGCGCCTAATCATTCCGCGCCGCTTATAAATAAGGGCCGAACGGACGCGTCTTCCCGCCGCCGTCTATTTTCGACGGGAACAGGAAGAACGCTCGCTCGGTCGCTCGCGCAGACTCTCGCTCGGCGGCGTCGCGACGCCTTTGCAACTCGCGCGTCTCGCGTACGCGCGCGCGCGCACACACACACACACACACGCACACGCGGGAGGCCCTCGTGCAGACACGCGGTTCGCGTCCGTCGTAAATACGAACGGCACAAATGCTCGTCACCGAAAATAATCGGGCGCAATCGCCGAAGTCTCGAAACGCGCGGCGTCCGACGACGACGACGAGCTTCTCGCGCGCGGCGACCTCTCGGGGTCGCATGGGCGGATTTTCGTCGCTCCGGAGACTACCGTGACGACCGATCGCGGCGACCTGAAGGAGAGCCTCGCAATGCGCAAGACCGGCACGATCGGGTGCGCAGATCGAGCAGGGAATTGTTGTCCCGAAAGATCGGAAGGATGTAATCGTGACCGCAGTCGCGGAAACGCTCCGCCGAAGACCGTTCTCTAGTGCTGTGGTATCGTTAGTGTCTGTGTGTGTATGCATGTGTGTGTGTGTGTGTGTGTATGTGTGAACAGACGCAGTCTGCAAAAAACAAGAAATCTGTGACACGCGACGAGTGGATGTTTACAGTGGCGATTAACAATAATGGGCCCACGCGTCACTCGTGGACACTCCGTGTCCAAATAAAGCGAGGTGGGCGAATTTGGACGGATCATGATAAAGGAATCGGGCCTCGCGAAACGGAGACACCCGATTGCAGAAGGTCCTGATTTGCGCAGATCGAAAGGAGCGGCCAATTCGACGCTGCTGCGACGAATGCTGTCTCGTCGGGTGGAGAAGCTTCGGTAGAACTCGACGCGACAATCGAGCGCCAAATCGCGCACTCGACGAAAAGACCGATGAGCAAAATCGACGGGGGAGGATGATTGCGGGGGGGAATTAATTCAGCGATTTTCCGGTTCTCGTGCCGAGGAGCGAAACCGCGGGTCGGAGGCCCACGCTGATTCGCATTCGCCTGAGCGCATTTTCCTTGATGTTTATGCGATCGGATGTTTATGGGACGAATCAACACTCCACTTTACGGTCAATTTTTAGAACGTTGCATTTGCATTCGCCGAAGCGCTGCGGCGTTTGCAGAAGCGAATCCGACGAACGGTCGCGGTTATGGAACGGAGATAGGAACGGAGAGGGATTCTCAGGCACGTTCGAGATTAACGCGCGCGGCGCGTAAAATGATATGCGGCGATATTTCGCCGAGCGAACAGGCTTGTGGCTTAACGATCTTGTCGTAAATAAATCGGCAAGGAACAAAGGCAATTGTTGACAGTCTGTCATTGTCGAGACACGATTCCTTCAACGTCAAGGAACAAAGTAAAGACGAAGGTATCTTTTTTCCCTCAAGGATACCAAAAATATCCAACCTCTGAAAATCCTGTCTAGAATCCGAATCTTTCGACTTTTATACGTCGCGAATAAATCGCGTTAAATGGGAACAATCGTTATCTAAAACTGAAACGACCTCTAATTAATTAAAATTCCGTTCACATTTCCTTGACCGTCCTTCCAAAGAACACAATAAAGGCGGAGAGCAAAAATACCGAATCGTTGAAGATTCTCTCCGGAACTCGAGCTTTCTGATTTTTGTACGTCGCAAATAAATCATGATAAAAAAAGATAATTATTATCTGACAAAACTGGAACTCCAACAAGTTAAAATTTCACTCATGTTTCTTTGATCATCCCTCCATAGGACAAAGCAAAGGTAAGAGGAGCAAAAACAGCCAATTTTTGGGAATTCTTTCCGGAATCCAAATTTACCGATTTTTGTATGTCGCAAATAAATAGTGATAAAAAAATAATGATTATCTGACAAAACAATGGAACAATTTCAAGTCAAAATTTCACTCATGTTTCTTTAACTACCTCTCCGAGAAACAAAGCAAAGGCGGGAAGTAAAAATATACCCTGAAGATTCTCTCTGGAATCCGAGTTTCCTAATTTTTATACATTATAAATAATAATTATAAATAATGATTACAAATAATAACCTGACAAAACGGGAACATTGTCAATAACGAAATCCCGGTTCTTTGGCCACTTCCTAAAGGAACAAAGCGAAGACAGAAGGTGTCCCAAACACATCCAACATACCCAATTCCTGAAGTTCTCATCGGAACTTGAGTTATCCGAATTTTATACGTCGCAGATGAACCGATAAATAGAGATGATCCAACGAAACAGCAACATTCTCTAAATCAAAATTCCGCTCACGTTTTTTCGGCCACCTCTTCGAGGGACAAAGTAAAAGTGACAGGAGCAAGAATCGGAGTTTTATGAGTTTCATACGTCGTAAATAAATCGGCGAACAAATTCAATGATCATCTAACGAGACAGGAACACCGTTCCGCGGTTACTCGAGTTTCATCTGCGCCGCGAGTACAGGATATTAAAACCTCGCGCATGAAAAGGATGGCACCATGAGACCCGCTATAACTGTCCTCTGTTAAACACCAGCCGCTACACCGAGCAGAGTATTTGAATCTCACGTCGCACCTCCAACCACAGCCAGAAAAGCCAATGGCGGAAGATAACGCACATCAGGCCGAAGAGTGCGGCGTGTCCGACGTCGAGCGGAAGCCAGACCGCGCGCCCTGTCGTCCACGAGACCAACGCGCTCCCAAGGTCAAGGACAAGCTGGAGGATCCTCGACTGCCGACCCCGCCGCCTCTGCCGGATCCGCAATGCCCGCGGTTCGCTCGGGAGCGCGGAGTGAGTGGATGTCGTGGTGGCAGCGGCAGGCTCGACGAAGAGGAAGAGGAAGAAGACCTGGTGGCCTACCTGAACGAGCTGGCTGCGTCTCCGGTGGAGGGCCACTCGTTCGACTACGACACACCGAACTCGGCTACCTCGGCGATGGGCGTCGCGGCTGGACCTTTCGCCGAGGAGGCCTTCGAGCACTTGGACCGGTTGTGCGCGCTGACGGAGCAGATCCTGGAGCTGCGTAACCGCAGCTCCAAGTACTTCCGCCGCGTGCGCGGCCTGGAGCGCGCGAAGGCGCTGAGGAACGCCGATCGCCGGCTGGAGGTGGCCTTGGCGAACGACGAAGAGCTGCTCGGCGACTTCTTTGACGAGGACACCGGCTTCGCCGAGTCCTTGTTGGACGCGATGCTGTCCAACTGCCGCGAGCCGCCGGCACAGAGGAGGAGCGAGCGCACCAGCGTGAGGTCGCCGTCGTCGAGGCAACGAAGCCGCTCACTTGCGCTCGCCGAGCAGACCCTGATGGGCGCAGCCAGCGTGGTCGACCGCGCCGCCGACGCAGACAAGACAACCGCGAGAAACGTGCTCCGCAATGGCGCTCCCAAGGTCAGCAAGTGGACCAGGGTGAAGGCGGCCTTCAAATGGGAGCGAGCCTGCACGAACGATCTTGCGGAGATCGCGGAATCGGGCACGGCGATGCCGTCGACGCCCACCTCGAGGTACCTGAGGATCCCGGACATCACCGCCGGCAGCTGGAGCGGCTCGGCCTTGTCAGCCTGCACCAGCGAGCTTTCCAGCCCGTCCACGCCGATCGGCAGAGTGTCACCCGCCTCGTCCTCCAATGAGGAGGTGTTTGACGGTGAGGACGTGTGTAACGGTTTTTTATTATCCGTCTGGGCAACGATGGTTAAAAAGCTCTCTCGACCTCTTATTCATTTTACTTGAATAGGAACAATTGATATTCTGATGATATAAAATTAATTTTGTTTCAATAGGAATGATTGATATTTTGATGAGAAATAAAATTATTTTTGTTTCAATAGGTATAATTGGTATTGATGAAAAATAAAATTAATTTTATTTTAATAGGAATTAGTATTTTTATGAAAGAGAGAAAGAGAGAGAGAGAGAGAGAGAGAGAGAGAGAGAGAGAGAGAGAAATAAAGTCAAGTTTGCTTGAATAGGAATGATTGATATTCTCATGAAAAATAAATTTAATTTTGTTTGAAAAAAAATGATTGATATTTTAATGAAAAATAAAATTCATTTTGTTTCAATAGAAATAATTGATGTCTTGATAAAAAATAAAATTAAGTTTGTTTGAATAGGAATGATTGATATTCTGATGAGAAAAAGAACGGAAGATATTTGAAAGCTCAAAGCCTTTGTTATTTTACGAATGATCGACATTCTTTGATAAAAGTGATATTATAGGAATGATATAATAATGAGAATGAATTTAGCAGAATACTCGTTACTTAATAAGAATAAATTGATGTAATTCGGTACAAAATTACTGAGAAATATTTTCATTTGACAATATATAAACTGTACATCTATATATCCAATAAATAATAATAATAATAATAATTCGACGTTTGAAATTAAAGCTCGAAACTTTGAATAATAACTTTGATTTCAAAAATTCTGATTTTCAAACTCTATTCAGGGATTGGAAATTCTTGAGAGCATATAACTTTTGATAGAATAATAAAATTAATTGTATTAAATGCAAGAAAATTCCATGCCATTAATATCGTCCGAATATTCAGATACTCAAATATATTCACACTCGGAAATCTTGTTTAAATACAACGTTTCAAAAAGCTTCGAAGAGAGATGAGCGAGTTGAATATTATTCTACGAACAGAGCAACACCGAAACGATATCTCGTACCTAACCTCACATATATTTTTCAGAACCGCGGAAGAATATCATAAACTATCCGGACCGGCAATCGCCACAATCGTCGAGAGAAGATAAGAAGAGAGAGGATGCGGAGCGACACGGTCGATCGTTCGATCGCGATGTTTCCGTCACGGAGAACACCGATTCCATCGAACTCCCCAACGAGGTAACGTCTCTTCCATTAACGCACCGACGATTCATACCGCTGAAAAAGAAAAGAAAGAAAGACAAAACCGATCATCGCATGTAACGAGCAACAATTCTATAATTCCTCACGAGGAAACTGCAATCGAGCTGACCCGACCCATGAGTATATTTTTTCGTTCATGTCTGAAGGTAGAGCATGACTGAAGGAAAAAAGCCGACATCCAGATCAACATATTCCTCTTGATATAAGAGGAAAATTAATTGATGCAAGAGGAAACCCTCTTGAAATAAGAGGAAAACAGTTGAAATAATATCTAATAAATTTCCGATGAATGCTTCACTTTAATCGCTTTATCGAAAGAGGAATCCTTTCTCTGTAAAAGGCTTCGCTTAGAATATGAGACTATGGGAAAAATTATTTTACGAATAAATTATGTTTTTTGAGTGAAAGACTTGCGCTCGCATCGGCGCGACGTTGCACAGTGGAATATTGTACCAAAAAGTTGGCCAAAATTATTTTTTGAATTTCTGTTTAAGATGTGCTATTGATTATATATATATGATCATTATAAAGATTTCGTATAAGTTTTTCATGAAATAAAGTCCAAATATATATGTAAAAATATTTTAATAATTAAGAAAGCATAATATTGCACATCAATAAGTATTCAATTAGACAAACTCCAAATTTCTTCATTTAATGAGTGTATTTTATCCTCAGAATCAACATCATTGTCATCTATTGAAATATCTCCTCTTCTTGGTGTGGGATCAGTGCGAGAAGCATATACAGGGTCTGCCAAAAGTTCCGGGATGGCTAATTATTTCAAAAAATAATGATTGTTTAAAACAATGCTTGAAACAAAAGTTGTAGGGCTTAAAAAAAGCTATCAGATATTGATAATTGTTTGACCTTGGAATAACCTTGAGAAACGTTGTCAAGGTCGACATAAAAATCTTAAATGAAAATTCCAATTTTTTAATACATCGTCTTTTTCCACCAATTAATTTGAACAACTTTTATCTGAAACATTTTTTTATTTGCCTAATATTTTTTGAGATATTTAAGGATAACTTGGTAACTTTTTTAATATTTAACTTACGATATCTCGCTAACTGTTTGTCGGGATAAAAGAATGGTACTAGATTTTTCTATTCTATTTGGTCGCGAGAATATATTGTTACAATAGCGCCCTGACTTTTGTTAATTTGATGATTTTGAAATTTCGAAAGATCGATAAATTAACAAAAATAGAGCATTATTGTACCAATATATTCTTGAGATCAAATAGAATAGAAAAGTCTAGTACCGTTTTTTTATTCCGACAAACAGTTAGCGAGATATCATAAGTTAAATATTAAAAAAGTTACCAAGTTATCCTTAAATATCTCAAAAATATTAGGCAATGTAAAAAAAATGTTTCAGGCAAAAGTTGTTGAAATTAATTAGTGGAAAAAGAGGGTGTAATAAAAAATTGGAGTTTCCACTTAAGATTTTTGTCGACCTTGATAACATTTCTCAAGGTCATTCCAAGGTCAAACAATTATCAATATCTGATAGCTTTTTTTAAGCCCTACAACTTTTGTTTCAAGCATTATTTTAAACAATCATTATTTTTTGAAATAATTAGCCATCCCGGAGCTTTTGGCAGACCCTGTATAATGTTTCCTTTAAAAATGGTTTAGATTTCTTTCTTAGTACGGGTCTCATATTTGTCAGTAACGAGTCACAGCTTAATAGAAGTCTGTTGATTATGTCCATATTACATGGAAACAAAAAGGAACAAAAGGAAACTTCATATCTAAATAACCTTTGGACAAAATCTAATTTATGTTTGGGGAAACAAAAGTAATTGCTAAAACTACACCCGCGGTTTTCCGCGGCTAATTCTTTCATATATTTTATCCGGAAAGATTACTCTTTCATTTCATCCAAGAAACGTAACAGAGATAAACCCTGAAGTATAACTAAATCCTTCGAGTTTGACATCGAGAACGCAAAAAGATACATTATTGAATATTATTTTCAAAATCGTATATCTATGTGAATAACAATTCAATTGTAATAAACATAGTCTAAAACGTTTCTTTGTACCTTTCTCGAAACAATCTACGAAAAATCTCGCGTCGCCACTTTTAAGAACCTTAAAATTCTGATCGAAGGTCGTATGTTATAAAGCGCTGAGAATTGATGCGTGCAATACGAATAACGTCCAAATTCCGACTAACCAAACCGCTTCATATTATCGCGAACGAACAAAAGCAAAGCGGCCCATCATTCCACAGATATTCAACTATCTAAGATAGTCCAAGTCAGTCATGTAGAGCAGGAATGATTTTAAGAAAATTGACTTTTGGCCAGCTTTTCAGGCCAAACGTCCCGCAGTGCGTCGATTGGTCCTCGCCGCGCATGCAGATGCTAATAAAACTCAGAAATTCGCGCGTCTTGCGAAACGACGCCTCGATCGGCCTCGATGGCGGGCGGTTAGCGTTCTAACGTCGTCGATAAAAGCGCCGCGTGCGAAATTCCTCCCGAACGAGACGGCGAGTGTACAAGTGCCGGCTTAAAAATATCCAGCGGCAAGGCGCGTGCCGCGCACGACCGCGCCCATTAACGGACGCTGCCCCATTCCGAGCGCGAGTCGCGAACGCGAGAAAGGGAGAGGAAAAGGGAGAAGAGTAGGGAACGAGGGTAGAGACGAGAGAAGGAAGTCACAGCGCTATCTCGCTATCTCTTTCTCACGACAGGCGAGTCGCGCTGCCAAGCCGCTGATTCGCGTCACACCCGACGCGGCCTCGTCGGCGCGAGTCGCCAAGGACCCGGAAGCGCCGCCGAGGAGGCCGCCGCCGACCCTGACGATCACGATACCGCCGAACGAGGAGGAGGTCAGAAGCTTGTCCTCCCCGGAGTCGATGTCCCCCCTGCCGTCGAGCGCGCAGGACTCCGGCGGAAGTTCGCCCCAACGTCCCAAAGCGCGCCCGGATATTTTGAGCTCGCGGGAGTTCAAGCGGCAGGTTCGGCGAAGCAAACTTTGGCATATTGTATTTATGTTTTATCCGTAAAGGATCCGATGAGATAGATAGATAAGACGAGATCGGCAAAGTTGCGTCGCGCGTCCGCGCGACGCTCGACTTTCGGCCTCGTCCGAGTGACGTAGACTGTGACATCCCGTTCCAGTATTCGACGATCGAGGAAGCGACCACTCCAGCGCCGAAGATTCAGCGGCAAGACTCGAAATGGAACAAGGTCAGGCGTGCTTTCCTGACGAACGCCACCTTCAGCGTCCCCCCGAGCCCGGTCAGAGTATTCGCCGCGCAATCGTTCGCCAGCGATGGTGAGTGTTCGATAAGGATTTACGTACGTACTTCGCTAGAGCCCTGTAATATTTCGTCGATCCTGAGCAAGGATCACGAATCCTTCGCACCTGCGCACACGTTTTATCGTATTAACCATAAAAAGATAAAAAATAAGATAAAACGCCCAGTATTCTTCCATCTTAATATTTGCCAAAATGTACACATGAATTCTGGCTACTGGACGGTCTTATCCTTATCTTATCTCTTGTCCCATATGGCACAGAAGTTGCAGCAATATTTCTGTAACGTTGCTGCAACATTGTTGCAACATTGCAGCAACGTTTTTCCAACTTATGTGTTGTATGGGATGTTTCTACGCTTCTGTTCAAGTAACAGCAACATTGCGTCAATGTTACAATTTTCAACTCATCAATGTGAGCGCGATGTGTGACGTACGTTGAATATAACAACTGGGAAATTAAAATTTCATGCGATGTTACCGTTAGAGACACTCCTGACTCCTGCACGGAGAAACATATTGAGCTGAATACGAACGAAGTATGGACGATTATAAAATTCTGCTTCCAAGTTGTCAGAATTCAATCCGAATTGTTACGATTTCCGGTCAACATTCAATCCAACATTTTTCTCCGTGTAAAAAGTACATTTCCCTTACCGCCATATACAAAATCATGAAACATGTTTATTATTAACACGTCCAAGATGCAACAATATACTTGAGAGGTCTGCCACGTTCACACAAGCTTCTTCGGCTCGAAGCTCCCCCGAGAAGAGACGCTTTTTCAAAGCGACCTACCATCCATAGCCATAACTAATAAACTTATCCTTAACTTGCCTTAATAAGACTTAATAAGTCCTTAATAAGCCACTTTAATAAAAAAAAAAAAGCACCGTCAATCGGCTTCGGCTGTCCCTCCCTTCCCTTCTTCCGCCTGCTTCTCGTCTCGCCGCCGCACAGTGTTGTGATATAAGAAATTGATGTTCAAAAAGGTCTACGGCATTCAATTTTCAACCGATTGGGACGATTTCTTTTTTTTTTTTAATGAAGATTACCTACAATTCTATCGAGCGATATTTTCGATTAAGGATTTGGTTAGGATTCCTGATATCGCAAATATCGCTCGGTAGAATTGTAGGTAATCTTCTCACCTTCATTTAAAAAAGAAAATCGTCCCAATCGGGTGAAAATTGAATGCTGTAGACCTTTTCGGACATCTCCTTTCCTGTATTTCCACAACACTGTGCGCCGCCGCACTCGCATAAAATGTCTTCGTTGTAAACGCAGATACGCGCCGAGCTCGCAGCTGTAGCGAAAGCGTCGAGGATCTCGGTAAAACCGTTGCAGGTACCAAGCACTGCCGGGCGGAAGCGCTCAGGGACTACCAGGCGCTGCGGGAGAAATTCGGCGCTGAGTTCTACCGGAAGCTGCTGGAATGGGAGCGGCTGAAGGGCAACCCGCCGCGCGTCCTCGCCGCGCGGAACGTCCGCGACGGGCTGCCGCTGCACGAGGAGCGGCTGGCGCCCGAATTCAGGAAGAAGCTGCAGGACTGGAAGCGGGCGAAGAAAGGTCGGCGATCGGGCGCGAGCATCGAACAGCAGCGCGTCAGCCGCCGACGGCTGACCGATTGGCAGCTCTGGCGCTCCTCGTCGAAACCTGAGCCCAGGTGTCACGGCGTACGTTGATCCTGCGAGCGGTCGCGGAAAGCCGCAGTTTTCGAGGGAGAGGCGGCGGGGGGGGGGAGGGAAAGCTAACGGCTCAAACGCAAGAGTCCTCTTCGTAATATAATCGACGCGATGACGATGGCGAAAGGGAGGGTCGAGTTTTTTTATGACTGATAGATTCAGGGCGCTGTGGGGGTGAGAAGAAAATGTCGCAAATTGTCAAGTTCTTGAGTAAGAGAGAGGGAGAAAGAGACTGTCGGTAAAATGACACGCGGAGAGAGGAATATCATTCTGCCGCTAAGAAAAACGCTCACTTGGTTGATCTTCCTCCTTTCGATTCACAGTTGCTTTTAACAAATAAGAAGAAATAAAATACGAAATAAGAGGAAATAAAGAATAGAATAAAAAGAAATGAAAAATAGGATAAGAAGAAATAGAAAGTTTAGATGCTCATCTCTTCCGAAGAAGAAATTCTTCATCTCGTCCTTGCCTCATCGCGCCAGTCACCGCGTCGATTCTCGTTGTCTCGCGATGGCTCGCGATGTAATCTTCTTCTGCGCGACAGACAAAACAGAGCTCCGTCAGTTCACGCGGGAGCTGCGCGAGTATCGGCAGCGCGGGGAGCTTCGCCAGCGACGGGAAGCAGCACCTCTGCGAGGACTTCGTCAAGAGGATGGAGGCATGGAGAAGGATGAGCGAGGCCGCATGCAGGAGCAGCGAGAGGCCGAGGGCGGCGACGAGTCGCGTCGCGTCCGACGTCATCGACGAGACGGAATTCCTCGCTCTGGAGAAGTTGCTGTTGCTTTTCGGCCAGAGGAGCAGGAAGGAGCGTCGGGAGAGCGACGCGAAGCAGCTGAACGATTGCTTCGACGGCGACTCGAGGTACGACAGTCGAGACGACGTGAAGACAACACGAGCGTTATGATCTGTCTGGTTATTAAGCTGTTCGACGGCTGCTTCAAGGTTCACGGCTGCGTCCCGGGGCGTAAGCTGCGGCAACGAGGTGCTGATCCGCACCTCCGTCGGCTCGTATCGCTTCGAGGGCATATCGAGGGAGTTCACGAGGAAGTTGTACGACTGGGAGAAGTACCGCGGAATATCACCGAGGTCCTCCACGTTCCGGCTGCTGGGTCCAGGTTACACGCCGTTCGCGCAGGACTCGGACGAGGCTACGTTGACGGAGTCACCGAGTGCGACCGGTAAGAATAACTGACTTTGATTACTTCGGTCAAGTGTTGGTTGGCCTAATTAAAACGAACCCTCTAGAAACGTAAGTATAATTTAATAAACTATTATCGAAAATTGATAATTAGATTGCTTGGAGAAAGGTGTCACTGTAAATTATACGTATATATATATTGAGTAATATTTTGTAGAAATATATATTTCATTTGGAAAGTAATTAACTGGACAGCAAAGAAAGAGAAAAATGCGTGAGAATAAAAGAAACGTCAACTGAAGGATATTGCGGTAGCCTGAAGAGGACATCGCTTCTCAATGTTATTAAATTAAATGTCGCGACACGTACAAATCATAGGTAAGACTCGCGCACTTCACTGGAACCTGAAGAGATCCAAGTCCGACGGCAGCGTCTTCGAAGGCAGCCTTCGCGACGAGTCGTACACACTCCGTCGCTCCACGAGTCTGCACTCTCTGATCTCCACGGACAAGCTCGAAGACGACAACCGAATGGATGCCCTACCGACTTCTAGTAAGCGCGTCATAGCCAGAAATAACTCTTCGCAATATCTTCTACGATCCCAATAGTTTCACACACTTTTATTCCCCGTCACTATTTCTCACTATTGCTCATAGTCGTTGTCTTATTCTTAGAAACGACTGTATACCTCCCCGAGACTGTGGACGCATTCATAGCCAGATGTTGTGCTTAATATCATCTTGAGCTATTAATATAATAATTTTCAAGCGCTTTGCGGCCGAACGAGATTGTAGCCAAACAAAAAATATCCGTATACGGCATCCGAGGACGAACTGAAGACGATCTCAAATATAGAAACTGACTATAAATATCGCTCTGCAATAATGATATGACAAATTCGAACAAATATAGAAATAATGAAAAAGAAAAAGAGAAGAAAGAAATAGTCTTCTTTATATAATAAATGATTAAATTAAATAATAATGATTAATAAAATATAAATAATAATGAATAACAATATATTCATAATTATTTATTATTATTATATATATATATATATGTAATTTGATTATGTCTCAATTATTAATCATATCATTTATTAATCATATCTTGTATTTCCCACAGACAATCCGCAGAGCATCAAGGATCACTCGGAGGACACCGCGGTGGAGGACTCCGAGCCTGAGGCGATGATCGTGGACATCGAGGACGTCATCGAGGAGACCGCCAGTCCGCTGGAGAGGGTGCAGCCTCATCAGACGCCAGTTTACTCCGTGGCAGCGAGCGAAACCACCAGCATTGCGGTCCCCCTCGGCACGGTGACTTCCAGCCACGAGCCGTCGCCCGTGTTCCTGGTCGAAGCCGAAGACGACGATGACGATTGCGGAGGCTGGAACGGCAGGACGTGGGTCGGCGGTCAGGAGGCTCGCTCGAGCGAGAACAGCTCGAGCCCGGAGCACTTCCCGGTGCGCGAGGTCTGGCGCGAGAGGACGACGTCCCTGGCCGAGGAGAAACCGAGCTGGGGACCGTGGCGCAAAGGACACGACACGGAGGACGCGGCCACCACCGCCGCGGGGTGGACCGAGAAGACGGGCTGCTCGGTCGTCCCGGACGACGACTCCGTGAAATTCGACCGGCCGATCGGCTGGAATCGAGACGCTTGGGACGAGTCGGGCGAGATTTTTCAGAGATACGCCAACGAAGCGAATAGGTAACTCGAGGGAGCCGACTCGCTTCCCCACGAACTCATCACGAACGGCTCAAATTGACGCTGATGCACCGCGTTTCAGAGACTCGACGGTACCCGAATCGCCGACCGACGAAGGCGACGCCGGCAGGAACGCCACCAAGCAGCAGGAGCTTTCCGCCAGCCAGCCAAGTTCGTTAAGCATGCATCGATCTCCATCAATTACCAAAGCTGATTATCCCGCCGCAGCTAATTACTTCATCAAAGCTAATTTTTTTTTTCACCGTTTGCAGTCATCTTTTGTTTCTTTGAAGAGACCTTGAAAGATTCTTACTAATTTTTCGTGATATCCTTTAAACCATACGAGGGGAGTCAATGGCGAATACTCTCCCCAATTGTGCTCGGTATTTCGTTGCAGAAGCTGACGATACTGAGCCTGCACCGCTCGCGGAGAATCTCGGAGCCACGTCGTCGGCCTGGAGCGCGGAGAAATTAACGGTACATCTAATATAAATCAATTCAATTCCGTTTCGTGTAATCCGGACTTGACGTGACGCCTTGTATTCAACTCTGATATTTGTCGCGCTCGATAAGGAAGCAGATTATTTCTGTACGGAGATATCCTTCCGTCTTTGAGATCTCTAAGATACTCGAGTCACAGTTCAGGCTCAAACTTTTTGGAAAAGTAAGTTTTATCGTAGCGCAATTGAAATTAGCGTCCTGTCGGTACAACCAGGACTCGCCGCGCACGTGTGAGAGGATGAACGAGGCGGAGAAGATCGAGGATCCAACAGATAAATCGAATGACGAGCGGAAGAGCGATGTGGAGGACCACCGAGACTCAGAGGACGCAGCGAAATCTAAGGAAACGATGTCCACTGCAGGTCCTCGTGCTTATCGATTAGCAACGATGCCATCGCCGCCAAATTGTCGCAATTCCAGGGAGGCCCCCTCGAATTTATTCAATTTAATCGTGGGTAAGTTGATGTTAAAAACAAATATAAAATAATAAATACATAACAAGGTATGGCAAAATATCATAACAGAGAAAAATAACATAATTTTGAGATATTTTCTTTATTTAATAAAAAAATATGTATTGTCATATATTATTAAAACTCGATGAGAACTTCGTTATATCTCTCTTTATTTTGTCCGTTTATATTCTTTGCTTTGTTGTATTTGTTCTCGAATTTATTCAATTTAATTGTGGGTAAGATGGTGTTAAAAATAAATATAATATAATAAACACATAACAAGATATAGCAAAATACCATCGCAGAGAAAAATAACGTAATTTTGGGATACTTTCCTTATTTAATAAAAAATATATATTGCCATATAAATATATTATCAAAACTCGATAATAACTTCGCTATATTTCTCTTTATTTTATCCATTTATATTCTTTGCTTTGTTGTATTTTTCTCCGTGGATAATAACAAAATTAATAAAGAGATACATGTTCTCATGTAAATGCATACACAAGTATTAAAATTTATTTAATATATATATATATATATTTATTTATTATATATATTATAATATATATATATATGTTTAATAATTAATTTAATAGATTCATTTAATTGTATATAATTTAATATAATAATTTAAATAAATTTAAAAATATTAAAATTTTAAATATAATATAACTTTATAACATTTTAACCACATTTTGTTGTGTCAACTCTCTGTTTGATCTAATTACACTTCGTGCATTGTTAAATTCCATTTTCGCAGGCGATGACAAAAGCACGCCGGAATGTCACGACGCTGATACCGAAAGCGAGAGCTCAGCACGTTACGAGAATTACCGTTTGCCCGAGCTGCAGGCCGACGTCGACCGACACTACGAGATCCTCACGTTTAGAACAGACGCGTGCAGCGATACGCTTGATAGCCGTTTCTTGTACGAGCCAGTTGGCTGCCGCGAGACTCCTCGCGACGATGCAAGTAACCGTGCGAGAGAGAATCTTTCATTATCGAGGCTACGAGGCGCGGAGACAGCAAGTTTCTCGGGGACGCCGACGAGCCTCTTGACCGACTCGACGATTCGCACCGTGCCGATAACCGTCTCACGAAACAGCGAGGCACGTCGTCTCGAGAGAATCCTCATCAACGAGGAGACGTTGAACAAGGTAGTCGTGCCGACGGCGAGCGCCGAGAGGCCTCGCCCGGCGGAGAGCGCGACGGCGGCCGATGAGACCGAGGCGAGGACTAACGAGGAGCAGCAGGTGACGTGCGGCAAGAAGGACAGCTCCTCGCCCAGGAATATGTTCGTGAAGACCAAGCGCATGATCTTCGGGCCGTTCCGCCGGTCGGAAGACCGGCCATCTTCGAGGAAGGAGAGCGACAGCTCCGTGGACGAGCGGCTCCTGCGTTCCAAGTCCAAGAGCAAGTCGAGGTCGGCCTCGCCGAAACTGTGCCGGCAGGACGCCCTGTTGCGCCCTGTGTCGTTGTCCTTGCCGTGGCCGCTGCGCTTTAGCTCGAAGGATAACGAAGCCTTCAGCGGAGCTGAGTCCAGAAGAAGTTCGGCCGGCAAGACGGACGATGCGGTAACGGTACAGGTGAGTGACTCTCGTTGCGGCGGGTTCATCAGCGACGACCGGGCGAGTGAGGACGACAAAAAGCCCAACGACCAGCTGACTAACGAAGAGCCAGCTGAGATCAATCAAGCGGCGGCTCATCAGTCAGCCACGAAGTCGGCCAACGTTCCGGTGAACGCGAGGCCCTTCACGGGAACGACCTCCCCGTGCGCTTTGGAGCAGTCGGACCGGCCGAGAGCCACTGTGGTCCAGCAGGATCGAAGTACTCGTCGGATGCAGGACGAGAGCAAGCGCGGCCGAAGGCAGGACGAAGGAGAGCAGCGGGACAAGGTCAAATGCGAGCGAGTGCAGAACGAAGAGAGGCGAACCGAAGTCGGCAGCGCAGGGCAGGATGAAGAGAGGGCAGACGAGGCGGCAAGCGGCCACGGGCAGGACAAGGCGAGGCGGCAGGACGAGAATCACGCGAAGAACGATGCCGTACCGTCAGATTTGATGCACAAACTCAGGATACTTTCGGACGCCGCGGCGAGGAGGGAAGGGCGAGCTACCAGTACGGAGACCTCGGCGAGCAGCAGCTCGGAATCGCGTTCCTCGAGGATACGACGCGCCAAGGAGAGCTTCCTGTCGCGCCGAGGCGGGCCCTTCTGCCGCTCGATGATGGAACCGACGGAGACGGGTGGTCGCGAGAGCGATCCTTGGGGGCGAAGGTCGGCGAGTCAGACATCATCGTCCTGCACGGAAATGTCGAAACCGGGCGACATCCAGCTCGCGGAGTCCACCTCGAGGCCCGAAGAGACTGGAGACGCGGGCAGCTCGACGGTAAGGACGACTGCGCAGGACGAGCCCGCTTGCTCGAGCGGGGACCAAGGCTGCGCGCGTGAGGAGGACCGCGAAGTCGCCGTACGAGCGGACCTGGTGAAGTCCGCCAGCGCTGGTATGATCAACGTCGACCCCGACACGTTCGGCCGGCTGGTCGCGGCCGATCGCGGCTGCGAGTCCTTGCCGAGGACCATCGCGAAGCGCCGCGACTCGTCCGGCCCGTTGGCGAAAATCGTCGGCAAACTGAAGCTCTCGCGGCTGATCCGCGCCAAGAACGCCGACGGCGGCAACATGAGCACCATCTCGACCCTGTGCAGACAGAGCCTGCTCATTAACGTGCGAGGCGGCTCCGAAGGTCGAAGCGGCGGCCTTGCGAGCGACGCGGACGACAAGGGCAAGGGCGCCGACGAGGCTTCCGGGGCGATCGACGAATGAGGATTTTTCGCACGAACAATCGTTCGCGTAATCTTTGCTGTCTGTGGATTTTTATACTCGTCTCTGCGAATTCACCTCGGTCGCTTAGCTGCGCGGCTGCTTAACTTCCCGATGCACAATTATGAAATTCGTTTGTGGATAAATTCACGCGTATACGTCGATTTAAATTACTATACTATAATAACGTGCATGATGATACTAAATATTATTGTTATTATATATTATGATATCTCTGTATGTTTTATTGTATGTAATGATATATATATATAATATTGTTATTGTACCAGTACATATTGATATGTTAATTTAAATTATACATATATTGATATGAACTTGATACACTATGATAAAGTACAATGTATTAAGTTGTTGCATCAAAACATTATATATGCTACATAACTGCGTTAACAAGGGGAGAAATTAATTTCATAATTGTGCATCGACGTCGAGCGTAATTGTGTCATCAATCGTAATACTGACACTTTCTTTATTAAGGGGGGAATTATTATACATGCGAAAGGCCGTTTTCAGAGCTACTTTTACGAATTTTTTCAACAGAAACGGTAAGCTCAATGGACTTGAAATTTTCACAGTGTATTCATTAATCTTCAATGTATAAAATAAATTTTATTGAATCACAATAACCGATCCAATTTGTAATTATAGATAAAAATGCAGTCACCCGTTTGCAAACTCTATGTTTGCTGTCGACCTAATTCCGGGCCTCTCACTATTCTGAAACCAAAAAGTGAGAAAGATTTTTTAAATATACAATTGTTATTACAGCCCGTATCAAAATGAAGGCAGTGAAGTCAAGTTTGGAAAAATAATTAAAAAATGAAACTTTTTTCAACTCGTAATTATGTTTAAAAAAATGAATAAAATAAAATACAACTATGTTCGAGATAGGGGCGAAAAACTACATGTCTACTGTATATTGTGTAAAAATTTCAAGTTATTCGGTTCAGTAGTTTTTGCGTAATCGTGTCGACAGACACGTTTAAGAAAATGCTATTTCCAGATAAACGCGTTTAAAGTTTTATGTGTACTTTCCATACAAATAGTAACCAATTTATTTTATACTTTGGACATTAATGAATACACTGTGAAAATTTCAGCTCCATTGATCCCACCGTTTCCGTTAAAAAAATTCACAAAAATAGCCTTGAAAACCTGCTGCGCATGTATTATAATTCCCTCCTTAACAAGAATCTGCGAATCTTTAGACGCGCAGCTTCTCGCGCGGCTAAAGCCATCTCAGGCTGGTAGATAACAAGATACTTTTGCTACTCACCATGTAACGGATCATTGTGACAAGGTAATGAGATTCAAATAAAGTCGCAGCAAGTAACGAAGCGAACGCAACGCGCGACCTCGCCTCGAGTTCCGGCGCGCTGCGACGCGGGACCGAGCGGTCGCAAGCGGAATATCCCGCGCCGAGAGGAAGCGGCGCCGATCAATTACTCCGCGAGTCCCGCTTTCCCCAACAATGCCCACGCAAACACGACGTTGCGCTCCGGGCCCGCGCAACGAATAGCAAACATAATGACGAGGGTTACCGCGCTCCGGCCGGTGTTTGATTAAACGGGATTAATGTCCCCGGGGCGGTCTCGAGTGGCCACGGGGGGAGCGAGACGCAGACGGGCGCGTGTCGCGCGTGCCTCCCCAAAGTCGCCAGGACTCCCTTTCTCTCTCTCTCTCTCTCTCTCTCTTTCTCTCTCTCTCCCTCTCTCTCACACTCTTTCTCTCTCTTTTTCTCTTTCACCCCTTTCTCAGCCCGCTTGCGTGAGCCGCTCGAGAGGCCGCTCCTTCAGCCGACCCTTCGCTGTGCTCCGGGTCGGCGGAAGCCCGCTGAGGGCGCGGAACAGAGGATGGGGAGGGGGGAGAGGATCGTCGAACCGTCGGTCGATCGCATTAAGCGGATTTCATTCGGCATCGAAACGATCGTGCAAACAAACCGCTCGACCGGCAGCGGCGTCGTCGCCGATGACTCGTTTTCCAGCGCGGCACATTGTACGCGGCGCAACGTCGATTGACGACGAGAGTGCCATGGGAAGGATGTTGATCTCCGGCGAACCGACGTCCCCCGGGACGCCGGGGAAACGCAAGTTCGCTCTTACGTTCGGCTGAGTTTTAATTTGCCCCGACGCCTACGCCGCGGACGCACGCGGGGGTGATTTTTTTTTTTCTCTGGGAGATGTTGATAATTTGGTATTCGTGTGTTGCGAGAATAAAGGAGAACGCGAGACACGGCGTGCGTTTTAAAATTTTGATTTTGATGAGATTTTCGGTAGAAAATTTCGAAACGCTCGGAAATTTATCCCGAGGTGCTTTCGAATCGGAAATGATATTTGCTCGATTTTTATGAATCTGCGGGAATATATTCATGTTATTCAATTTAAGACATTTGTAAAGGTAGTATGAGAAATTATTTCACATATATGACACAAATTTTCATATCCTGTAATTAAAAGAATGTCCGGGCAAACTATTAATTAATTGTTGCAATGCATACAAAGCGATCGCTGCACGAAGAAAATTTGTATCGGAGATAATAAGCGTGTGTATATATATATATATATATATATTATTATATACAGGGTGAAGCGCTTAAAACGGGCCACTTGAATAACTTTAAAAATGTTCAAAATAGAAGAAAATGTTAAATGTAGAAGTTATAAAGTCTTTTTTAAAGTTATAGTATGATCTTGAAGAGCGTCATCTAGATTATCTTGAATTTTTTAGATGAAAATTCCCATTTTTCATTATATCATCTTTTTCTACCATATAATTTGAACAGCTTTTGTCTGAAACATTTTTTTATTTGCCTAGTATTTTCTGAGATATTTAAAGAAAATTTGATAATTTTTTCGATATTTGGCTTACGATATCTCAATAACTATTTGTCGGAGGAGAAAGTGATATTAGATTTTTTTACTTCATTTATTGTCAAGAATATCCTGTTAGAATAGTGCCTTAACTTATATATCTACATATTATACATTTTTATATATTATAATAAATATATATCCATATAAAACCGGACAAAAGTTTTTTCCGTGCAACGATCGCTTTTTGGAGAAGCCAGCGCTCGTCGAGGTAATCGCGGAGTTGACTTCCTTGAAAACTCATATATCCTTCATGCGTCCTTCGTCGTCGCAGGAGTAATCCACGAGAAAGGGGGATTAAAAAGCCGCAGGTTATTGTGGGCCGCGAGGTTATCCGAGGGTGCGAGCGGGCGCAGGTACAGGATACCGCGTCGATTTACGATTTGAGCCGCGCGAGCGCAGGAGCATCGACGGGCGTTCACAATGGGCGGTCGTGTTGCTCGTTGCCTTCTCCAGGATCGAGCTGTCCGTCTACCTGCGTCTATAATCCGGAAGCGTTCGCGGGAGCACGCACGCACGCACGCAGGCAGGCACGTAACATCCAGGCGATATTGTGTCGTGGGATCGCGCGGCGCGCGATCCTGCGCCCCGTGTGCGAAAGATCGCTCCGGATCTGTTTTCCTTTCTTCTTAGACAATACCCTCGATCGACTTCCGTCGGACCACCTTGGCGGGTCCGCGATGCGCGAGAAAGAGAGCGACGTGTCGTTGCGCGTTGCCGCGCTGCTATCGCGATAATCGCGTAATACAGTCTGTTCAGCAAGAAAGTGTGGGCGATAATCTCAAAAGAATAAAAGATAAAGCCAAGTTGTTTTTTTTCAAACAAAAATAGAAGATTTTTAGTGATGCGCAATTATCTAACATTTGATCCAGTCGCTTCCATTATCAATTATTGCTTGGCACTGTTTTTGCATATTTTCGACCAGATTTTTGGCGTATTCTGAAGATATAAAGAACGCCATATTGTTTTTATTTTTATGCACAGCTGCTCAAAAGTAAAAGCACGCTTTCCTTTAAGTTTCATCCTAAGGTATGTCCTTCCTAAGTATCATACATTTTCGATGGGATTTGCGTCTGGAGAGAATGCCGGCCAATCCACCATAGTTATCCACCATAGCCATTTTCGAGTTTTTCGTGGTGAACTGAAGTGTGATGATGCCACATCATTTTCATGCAGGCAGCTTCTGATGATATTAAGCGAGATATGTTGAACTTTTCGGCGGAGTTTTATCTGGGCCTAACGTAGGGTAAGACTGGGATTCGTCTGAAAGAAACACAAGATCGTTTTGTCCTCTTTCAGAGTCGTTGCATGAGACAGCCCCCTTCTTTCTAGCAGATCGTCAACATTTCCAGCGGTTTTGAATCTATTTACTCACTTTTTTACGAAAGCCTCTGACTTTTTAATTGCTCTAGCAGTTGCCGCGATTGTTAATTTTGGTCCTTTAGAATGGCGGTGAGAAACACCGCCTCCTAACGCTTCAAATATTTTACATTTATTTTTAAAAACAATGTTTACTTTTAACGACTACTCAACGCAACTTTTTTATGTACACTGCGCAAAAGAAGTTAGTTTCAAGATTCAAACGGTATAAGGTAGATGGTGTTACTATGATTTTCTACAAAAATAGAATCACCCACACTTTCTTGTTGAACAGACTGTATATTTCTCTTGCCGCTATGCTATTGCCATTATTATTAAACCAGCGCTAAAAATCCGTCACTCTTCTCTCGAATTCTCATAGAAAGTTGGGCCACTCGGAAGAAAACAGCGAGTTCTTCTTGAACGTCTGAAGGAGCCGTCACGCCGATCTCACTCTCTCACTCACAGAAATGATTAATCCTTCGAACTTGTGGAAAATTTTGTTTTCTATTATCTTCGATCACAACACGATCGCAAATCTACATTGCGGGTGCTAGCTTGATATTTATTTATTACTTCGCTGCGTTATTCATCGCGATGTTGCATTCAGCAAAAGAAGCTGCTTTACAACTGCTCTAAAATTCGTGAAACTAAAAAGCATAGCTATGCTTTTAAATTTAACTGAATCCAAGAGCGTGCACCACACAGTGAGATTTACGAATTTTACAAGTTGCAAAGCAGCTTTCTCTGCTAAATGCAGCCATTGTTGTTACACACGTTGTAGGCAGTGATACACTGGGAAGCAAAACGGTTCCGAGTTTTCTTTTTACAAACATTAGTAACTAGTCCAGTTGTAAAATTTGAGAATCCCTTGCGCAAGGGAAAGACCCGCGATCTTTCGATTTGCGCAGTTTGGTTTAGGGATGCTGATTTTAAATCGATTTAATCGAAGATCGACTAATCGGCGTCTAAAAGATCGATTTCAAATCGATTTTCGCGAACTGAATTGATTCAAGGATCGATCTGTAAATTCTGAAAATCGCCAACACGATTTTTTCAGTTTCTACTGGTAATATAGTTTTTTTTTTACTTCTTTAATTGTAACATTTGAACTCACTCAATGGTTGCACAATGCACATTATATTGCCTTTAGACCGATGTTTCATGGGCGAGAATTTTCAGCGGAATGAAACGCGCGAACCAATCCGAGTCACTCCATATAATAGTATACATTTTATACACATATGTATGCATTTAATAGTAAACATGATTTCTTATTTAATAACGTTTAAAAACCCTTGCTTGACATTTAATCAAACTAATTAAATCCTTAACATAAAGATTTAAAGATCTTTTTCTATCTTGTTGTGGCCACACACATACACACACACAGAACACGACCAAAAGAATACCATACGTTTAATTTCTTTAATTCATATTAAAATTTAATTTCTTTAATTCATATTAAACTATATGAATTACACGAGGTCTACTTTAGAGTGTAGAAATTTGACAGATAATATACTTTAATGAGTGCTTCACTCTACATGCATACCGATTCAAATTGATTTTCTGAAATCGATTCTTCATAAACCGATTTTTTAAAGGTCGATCTTTTTCTCCGTGATTCGAATCGATCTTTAAATCGACCTGTTTGAAAAAAAATCGGCATCCCTAGTTTGGTTAGGCAGTGATTCTCAAATTCACAAATACACGGATTACCAATGTCACTGGACAAAAGAACTGTCGAGACCGTTTTGCTTCCCAGTGTGCATCCATCTGCCCATGTTGCGTCTTGCGAGATAAAAGTACATCGTCTGCGAGAGCGAGCCGGATGTTACCGAACGGGTTGACCGAATGCATTATGCGGCGGACTCTCGAATTCGAGCGGGCGGGCCCGGACGGCACGCTGCGTGCGCGAGCTGGTCGCGCGAGCGAATAGCAGCGGACGACGTCGTCGGCGAAGAGCGATTGATTTATGTGCGTTGCGGTCGGCGCTTCAAGTAATTCCGCTGCGGCGGGTGCATAAGTAGACATGCCCGCCGTTTCCCCCCGCGTGTCTCGTCCACGTGGCCGAATTTCATCCCGCCACGTGTCTCTGGCGAAGCGCCTCAGGTTGAGACAATTAAAATCGCAGGCGCCATGGGCGGATGAAATATTAATGGCAATCGGTGACGATAACAGTTATGCCGTTATGCTCAAGGAGCGGCGCAGCGCTGTGTGAGAAGCCGCTTTTAATAGCGCGATACGCACGGTAGGTCTCATAAATTAACATCTAAGACTCTCTCTCGTCGATGACGTCAGAGGCGAGAAAATATACACGTCGGATATTCTTGCGGAGTATGTTGAAACGAAACGCTCGAGTGACACTTGCGATCGATCGAGCTGATCCGTCAATTAATCCGAACACTCTCCTCTCGTTCTACCAATA